GCGCTTTGTAAAGCGAAAAAAGTCGTAAGTTGCAACTTTTGTCAAAACAAATGAACATGGCGCGGAAGCACCATGTTTGTTTGGTTTTAAAGTGGGGAAACGTAACGTTAGTTTCTCAGGTAGCTCATCTGATGCTTTCCTTACCGTGTTAGTAGGTTACAGACAGGGATAAGGTTGGCTACTTATTTTACTTTTAATTTCATTTGAATTTGTTTAAGCAGCGTTTATATTTTCTTTATAAATAAATTAACTTGCAAATTATGAGGGCAAGGCTTTTAAAGTTTAAATCTTCTGGCAAAGATAAAGTAAAGAAGATCCTGCAATTTATGGAAGTAAAGCAGAATAAAATCCAGCAAGATCAGTAATATGTCAATTAATTATCTGCCACATTCCCATGTAAATATCTGTCTTTGGAGGATGTGTTTTTTAGCACCCCTAGTTCTCTCATTTTTATTCCAAATACAATTTATAATTTGAATCACAGGCTATTTTTATCTCTATGGTTCAGTATTTTCTCAAGTAGCAACTTTAACTGCTATACTTTCCTGTCTTAAAAGGCAGAACTCTTCTAGTCTAAAAAAAACTCTTTTGTTGAAATGGGGGGGCCTATTGTTTGAACCCCTTAGGGGCTTTTAAAAACAAAAATGTCTTTTTTTGCGCTTTATGAAACAAAGTAGCCTATATTGTGTGGATGTACAGCTACATTTCTCATGTAAGTTTGCGTAGTTTTAACACAAACATTTATTTTTCATATTGCACCAGTACAGTTAATGAGCAACCTGTACTTGTGTGCTTGTTTGTTCTGAATAAAATGTTTATTTTGGAATAAAGAGGTTAATATAAAAAATTTTTTTTGTCCGATTCATCGATTAATCGAAAAAATAATCAGCTGATTCATCGATTTTTAAAATAATCGTTAGTTGCAGCCCTAATATATATATATATATATATATATATATATGTTTTGTTTTCTAATATCGATCACTCTGACTTCTATCTTCACAGTAAGATACTAAATGCTCACAGCAGGCAAGCCAGAAAATGCAACTTTAAAACAGGCTATGTGATTTAAAAAAATAAAAATAAAAAATTCTAATTAACGAAAATCAGGAATAAAAAAAATAAATAAAAACAAAACAAAAAAAGGCACTGAATGTTGGAACCAAATGCTTGATTTATTATTGAATATTTATTTCTAGTTTATTATTTTTGTCTGGTTTTGGTATGATATATATGAACATGAAATATTTTGGGTTGAAGTATAAGTTGACTAACTTAATTATGAAATTATGAATTTGTTTAGTTGTGTTTTTCTGCTATTCATAATTTACGCTGTTTCTGGCCTCCGCCCCTTCATTATGGACAGGTGACTGCAGCACCTGGATTATAATGGAGTCGGCTATTAGGGCCGGGTGAGCTCTTGGATTCAGTCAGCGCAGCCATACAGTTTTTCACCGCTTTTGATTATTATTGTGGTTTTTTTTTTGAATGGCAAAAAGGAACTAAATGAGCCGATATGATCTGCCTGTCACGTCATATTGCAGTAAGAAAATCTAAGTTTGTTTTAATTTTGGAAAATAAAGCGTCTTGATCAAGAGGAAAGAAAGTTTGGTGACTGCATGGTCACATTAAACAACATCTGGCAGATCTGAAGTGAGTCTAACTTGGATGCTTCTGAACCAAGAGCCAAACACATCTTTATTGGAAAGATTGCGCTTTTACTGAACTTGCATGTTGCACATCTACACTTGATGGACAAAGACATTCTTTGGAGGACCAGAATGTTCACATTCTGGACAAAGAAGACAGGAGGTTTGAGAGGGACGTGAAGGAAGCCATCTATGTTAAGAAAGAAAAACTACCCTTAAAGGAATAGTACACCCAAAACATGATTAGCCTTCATTTTCTACTCCCCCCCATGCTGAACAACACTCTGGAGTACTTTTTTGATATCTCAAATGCATCTGGAGATCTGGGAGGCTTCTTGCTGTCTGCTGACATTCAAATAATGGAGGTCTATTGCGCCCGAGGCAGAAAGGTCCATAAAAGTCCACAAAAAACGTGTCAATATTCCTCCATACTGCTCGTCCAATGTATTCCAAGTGTCCTGAGTGGGTAGCGTCCAGAATTTACTCGAAACGAAGTCATTTAGAATGTTTTTAGAGCCTAAACAGTAGTGTATAGGATTTCCTAAAAGCGCGTTCATGAGTCTACGGAAACCGCGGCAGACCAAACCAGATGAAAGTGCGCATTCAGCTCGGCAAAGAACTCATGCTCTTCCTCAACACTGAAGTCCTCAGACATTTTTCTTTCGTTGTTTCTTTCTTTGCACAGGTAAACAGCACATTTCTTCTTCTACGCTTGCATTATCGGCAGAGCAGACGCTGAATGCGCACTTTCATCTGGTTTGGTCTGCCGCGGTTTCCGTAGACTCGTGAACGCGCTTTCCAAAACCTGCAATGCAGCAATAGAGTTGATTCCTTCCTGCTATCATCGCAGCTCCAACCCCTTTACAGGAGAACAGAAGACCTCGCCTGTTCATCCAGACCAACTGTTCCCTCTAACGACCCCCCTTTCTGAGGCATAGACAGGTATGGGGCATTGCAGGCTAACAAAGAAGCCAAACGACCCCCATTCCAAAGGGGGGGACCCGTTCATCTGTTTCTATTTGCATGTTTTCTAAACTAAAACCAGGCTTTGTTGGGCTGCTGCATAAAACCTGGAACTAAACGCTATTTCTGACATTTTGAATTGAAAAAGCTTCCTGGATGGAAGAGAAACGTCTTCAGACTTGGAAACAAAGTCCAGTCGATTAGTTTTTTAACTTTTTAGTAATGACTATAACCTGGATGACTGAGAATTTTCACCAGCATATTGGATGTTCCAAATTTCCATTTTTCACTGAGCAGCAGCTCCGTGTTCACATTTAAGGAGAGGAAGAGTCACGTCGGTTCCCTTTAATGAGAAATTTGTATCAGAAATTCCTGTAAGATTAATTTACATAGTTTTTATGTGGTAAAATGTTTCAGATCAAACATTTCGCTTTAACAGCCTTTTTATTAACTGTACCTGACTGGGTTTTTAAAAAGTGCTGAAAAGACTTTGAATTCTGCATTAAAAGGATTTTTGTTCTAAAAGTCCATTTCTTTCAATTTCCATTTAACAGCTCCCTTAAGAATTAGGAATTATACCGTCCCCTTTGACTAAGACTTTCCCATTAATCTAATCAGATCTCATCTGCTGCAGCATGTTTCCTGTTGGATGGACTGAAGGCAGGAAGAGACTTTATCTGAGCTTTAAAATGAATAAATCTGGATATTTTCTGGAATGTCAACAAGATGCGGACATTCCTTAAAAAAAAAATGTTTTTTTAAATCTCAAATGAAAAGCACTAGATGGTTAAATGTAACTATGTCCTTTGGGGATGTATGTGGATCGTAGAGAGTTTGATTTAAAAAGAGAAAAGTGAGCGAAAGGAGACCAGCTAACACCCTCAGCAGGCTCAGTCACGAGCAGCTCAGCTCCGTTTCTTCTTTCCAACACCTCGACTGCAGATATAAACACCCCTGTTTATCAGCCTGAGTCATCATAATAAAAAAAAAAAAAACAACCTTTTAAACTATTCTCTATTTTTAGAACGGCAGGAACAGAAAGGATTTAAGTAGGACTAATTTTCTCTAAGGAATCCTATTTCTGGTTTCAACATCAATATTGTACCTACATGTAATGGAGCCGTTCTGAAGATGGTTTCACTCTGGTTTTACTTACAGACGGGATCAGATTTGAACTGTACTTCAAAATGCAGTCTTATATTTTTGGTCTTGTTTAAATTTTTAGATGCACCAGTCTAAAGCAACTTAGCAACTGATTTTCAATTCTGACCACTTTTGTTTTTTCTCTGAGCTATTATAGGCAGTAAGTAAATAACAGAAGATGAAGCAACGACCACATGATCTATTTTTGGATATTGTGAGGTTACTGTTTGGATGAAATTATTTGTTATGATTAAAAGCAAGAAAATATCATCTAGTTAAGCATATTTGGTTAATATAACACAATCTCATCATGTCCTTAAGAAAAAACAGATACATTTTTTTTCCAGTGTTGGCTAATAGACGGATATATGCATGTGTTTTTGTTCTAATACAAATAAAAAAAAATAGATAAATAATTAATAAAATTAAAAATATATTGTTTAGTATTTAACCCGCTTATCTGTGATCAGAGCTGATCAAGAGGATATTTGCTTATTTTGAAGTCTGGTGGGTTAATTTACACACTCGCTTTTGTTGTTTACTTAATCCTATTTAGTTGCTTTAACAATTTGCTTTATTTCCTACCCTGCTAACATGAAAAAAATGTGTTAATTTAAATAAATATGTTAAAGTAAATGCCTAAAATGTTTGCATTTTTTTCCAGTGCCCTTTTTATGAGCCAAGTATCTTTTCTGCAGGATATACAGCAGTCCAGTTTAATTGATTTAGTTTATTTTCTATCAAAATTAAAAATGCGCCATTTGTTTTATCTCTGCTGAATGTAAACATAGACTCTTTAACGCAAACTTTACCTTTTGCAGATTAAAACCCCAAAAATCCCTAAATGTACAAATTCTGCATCGATTTATGGTTAAATCTTCATTTCTGTTATCAGTTACAAACTTCATCATGTATCAGAGTCTGGATCACATTTAAATAAAGTAACAATGAAAAAAATGTGTGTTTAAAATATACTTTTTAAAATACAGGGTGATTTTTATATTATAAGGATGGATTTATGATCATGATATCACCCTTATCAAAATGCAATCAGGGTAAGTAGATAATTCACAGGAGCGCGCAGAAACAGGCTTCATCCCAGGAGGAGCTTGCAGAGCATCCAACTCTGCGTCACTCTCACCAACTATAAACATCCACATGAAAACATCACGGAAAGAAAAGTCTGTTTGAAAAAGAAAAAGGGATGGACTGTATTCCAAAATGAACAGATGAGAGGACACCAACCTTTCTGCTGCTTGAAGGACTGGATCGAGCCTGAGTGGTGCACCATGGCGTCTCTCGGTGGGTCTCCAGCGTTTTCTAATCAAATTCCCCGTTTAGCAGAGCTAAGCTGCAGAATGCATGGAGAGCTGCGGAGGAACACCGAGGAGGTGGAAACTCGTTTCCCATCCTGCTGAAACCACCTCAGGGGCGATGCGCAAACTCTTCATAGCAAACACCTGTCTCCGCTCCGCACGCTGCTGTCCCCTCCCTCCATCCCAGCCTCCCTGCCCTCCTCCGACCGCCACCGTTCACGCCTGTTGTCATGGTGACGGCCGGCAGGGGAGGTCCTGAGATGGACGCATCCTCCTGCGTCCTGATTTACTGACCGCAGGAGAAATGCGCGTCTTTACACTGAAAGGCTCCTCGGTCACCTCTGCGTCCACCAGGGGCGGATTTAGGAAATGTGGGGCCCTAGGCAAAGACAGACAGGGGGCCCTCTGAATGGAGAAGACAACACATAAAACAGCCCCATTCTCCAGATAGAGAAATGTTAATAGAATAGACATCCATTATCTGTTCTAGGTTGTGTCCCTCTCTTCTTGTCCCTTTTCTTCTTGTTTTCCTCTCTATGTTTTGTACTCAGCTGACTTTTCATGCTGTCTCTAAAGGAATGAAAGATTTTTTCCAAGCACTAAGCTCACTTAGCTGATTGCTCCTTCCTGTGTTTCCAAAAAGGCCAAAGTAAATAACCCAGTCCTTCTTTTCACTGTAGACAAGCCATGATCTGCTTATCTGTTCTCCATTTTTCATTTGGATGAAATAATAGCTGCATGAATCATGACAGCAGACAAGATAGAGGAGAGCAGGAGGCGGGGTTACCAATCTACTCGCTCTGGAGAGCAGAGTTCGCTGCTTTTAGATGTTGTCTCCAAAGTCTCCAGTAGCAGAAAAAAGTCTCTAGATTTGGCGCTAGGAGCTTTTTAGAAATCAAAGTGCTAGAGGGGTCTGAAAAGTGGCTAAATATAGCGACTAAAGCGCTAAGTTGGCAACACTGCTCTTTGCATGGTTTGTTTTCAAATGGTTTGCTGCTGTCTGTTTGGACCTTTCTGAACATGTGCAGCAAATGGACTGATCCAATCACCCAGGAACTTGGGGCCCTAGGCAACTGACTAGTATTGCCTGATGGTCAAACATCTACTTTGTTAAATAAAACAGGCTCTAAAGTCCTAAATAATTACAGTACAAAACAAACAAGTTTGGTCCAGATTTTTAAAGCAGTTCCGTTCATCATTAGGCCTATAAAAAGATCAAAAAGAAAAAGAAAAAATAAATCAACTTCTCATTGATTTAGATTTACAGCATCCAATTCTTATACACTTACAATCATATTCAAAGATAACCATTGAGGACATCTCTGAATAACCAGCCTGCGGGGTTCGTTTTTTTTTTTTTTATTGTGAAATTTGTCGAAATACAAAGTAATTTTTAAAGCTCACTGAAGAAGGAGTCAGATTATTCCCTTTGAATGTGTTATTCAACGATTATGGCAGTCAAACAGTTTTTGACAAAGCATTTCATATATTTTATGATCATAATTTATTCCTCAAAACGTTTTTATATTGAAGAAAACCAAGTATTAGTTATTTTTGTTTATTTTTCCTGTGCAATGACCAGAGTTATGCTAATGGTTTATGCCATTAAGCCTTATTTTTGCCATTGCTTGCGCTAAATACATATTTTCTAAACATAACAGACAAGTAGATCCCCTCGTCTCTCCAGAGCTGCATAAACTGGCATCCAGGTGCGTCCAATTAGAAAGCAGAGCCCTTTGAGAAATAAATAAAGATCTGATTCTGAGGAAAAAACTGCTATGATGGGACTTTTATTTTACATCTACTTGCCTGGTGAACATTTTCAACATTGTTCAGAAATGGAAAGTTTCCTCCTGGTCTGCATTAACCAATCATATGGTTTATATAATGACTCGCTTTGAGATGCTCACTGAGTATTTTTGTCTGTCCTGTTTCCTTAACCAAACTGCTTCCATGTGCTTCATTGTTACCAGATTACTCAAAATCCATCCTGTTCTCACAAACACATGGAACACTGCTAAACAGGACATAGGACAAAAGGAAATGCTTTTTGTAGAAAGATTTGCCTTAAAACAGGATAAAAAAAAAAGAAAAAAAGAAGCAAATGTAGAGATCTCATGAGCAGTGGTGTAGCCAAAAAATTTTTTATAGGGATGGCCAGGCAATAAACAATTAACACTGAGGGGTGGCTGCTCATAACCTGACTCCGCCAGATGGATTTGCTCCGCATATCCATCTGGAAACCTTCCGTTGAAGTAATTTTGGGAAGGGGCGAAAATACTGGTTAGCTGATTGGCCTATGTTGGTGATAGACGGGCCAAATAAACCAATCAGATCAACGAAGCATATGACGTACTAACAGAGCGACGACGAAGAGGAGCCAATTGATAGATCAAACTCTTGCCGAAACCAGTCGGGAGAAGAGCAAAAACATCTTTTCCTCTGAGAAAAGCCTCCAGAGCAGTGTTTTGCTCTTCTTTCAGTGAAGAAATACTCTGTAATTCCCATAAAACTTGCTCGATAGCCACGCTAACGCTAGTTTCACCGGCTGAAGCCGCCATGTTCTTTAGACTGAACTGTCGCGCTTCTCGTTGCGTCACGCCTCAAAGCCAACGCTGATTGGACATTCGTTTGATGAACGGCTCCAAATTTTCTTTAACGGAGAGTCTCCAGACTGATTAGCGAGTGAAACCTTGAAAGCTCGCGAGATCAGGATGGTCTCACGAGGCTAGGCTGCTAAGGGGCACAGTGGGTAGCACTGTGCCTTGGGTTCGATTCCCGGCCCGGGGTCTTTCTGCATGGAGTTTGCATGTTCTCGCTGAGCATGCGTCCACACAGCCTCCCAAAGTCCAAAAACATGACTGTTAGGTTAATTGGCTTCTCTAGATCCTCCTTAGGTGTGAGGGTGTGTGAATGGTTATTTGTCCTGTTTGTCTCTGTGTTGCCCTGCGATGGACCGGCGACCTCTCCAGGGTGGACCCATTGACAGCTTGAGATAGGCACCAGCACCCCTCGCGACCCCAATTGGGATGTCAGATAATGGATGGATGGATGGGTGGCCGAAAGTGGATAGGCTCCAGAACCTCAGGGTCAATCAACCCCACATGTCAAGGTCAAGGCCCCCTGGATGATATTTAATGACCAGTAGAACCGGCCCACAGGCCACGGCCACTTGTGTGCGCTGCTGTGACTGCGCAGGCTGGTGGTTACCGGGCAGGCTAACGTTGCATTGTGGGGAATGTAGTGTTGGTGCATGCAATACGACTTCACCAACTCAACATTCCCAGGGGAAAATATGATTGTGTTTTTCTTTATTTTATTTTTTTTTGTTGTGTTTTATATGTTTGGATTGCTTTGGTTTTCGCTTTTTGCTTTTTTGCTTAACAATCCAAGCTGGGCTGAAGTCGGTTGTCTAAGGAGGCGGAGCACAGCAACTGCTGTCTGCAGGGGTCAGCCAAAATAAAAGGAGCCTGGATGGAGAGAGGGGTGGAGCTGATCCTGCAGGTGATGGAGGATCATCTGCAGGTGCCCCACGCTCGGCAGCATGTCCGTCTCCTTCACCTGCAGGATCAGCTCTGTCTCACTCACTAAACATCTGCGAGACAACTTTTATCGAGAGTCAATGGCCAAAGATTTTTGCGCCCTAGAGCGGAAATACGTCACCGTTACACCTCCAAGGCTCAGCTCCAAGGGCATATGTTATCAACCTGTGATAAAGTAAACGCAGCACATGACGCAGCTCTATTCCCTATCAGTTGCATTTTCTCCCCTAGTGGCAAGTATAAAATGGTACCATAGGAAGTCTTGATGAATCGCCGAATAAAACCTCACTTGCAGCTGACCCGTTTCGTTTAAAGGAACTTCAGATCGAATTCGGACAGCTGGCTTTGATGGAGCAGGAGCTGTTTTTGGAAGAATGCAGACTGGAGTTGGTGGATCGGCTGTGGTTGCTGCGCTCGGTGGCGTTGGGAGCGCATTGGATCATGTCTTGATGTGAAAGCTTTTAACGTGTTTTTTATTGTGAGAAGAAGAGGACAATGTAGTGGCCGACGCACACTCATGACTCTAGTCCCGCTTTTCTTATTTTCTCTGAATGGGTTGAGTTTTACTTCAGACCCCATTCAGAGTCTTTGGGTGGGGGTGTTATGTGCTTCGGGCACATTAGGATTTTTGTCTATTTCTTTTCTTTGTTTTCTTACAGACTTTAGTTGAAGGATCTTTTGTTAATATATTTTGGGATTCTTTTAGCGAGTTAATTACATTAATTTGTGGTGCTGTCGTCCGCCTATAAATAGGCTGGCTTTCAGCATGTTGGGGCGTTCCTTTCCAACTTCGCTTGGACGCCGCTTTTCCACCTGCTTCCACTTGTTCCATCGTGCGCGGTGCGCACTTGTCTTGTCGCTGCGGCCTGCAGCGGACGTTCCAGCCTGCCATGCGGTATTTTTGTTAACTGTTTCTTACTTTTTTCTTGAGGTTTTTGGCCTGGCGGGACCGGTTGTCCTGTTTTCGATTTTTCTTTTGCTTAGGTTATTTTTGGCCTTTAGTCCGGTACCAGTAGGGGCTTCGACGGCCCTGTATAGGGTTGGCCACCTGCTGTACCGTTTTATTCTGTTTGATCGGCCTGCCAGGTCCAACTTTCTGTTGTTACTTTGGGTTTCTATTTTTACTTTTTGGGGCACGGGATTTGAGGGCCTTTAACTATCTTCTCAGAAAATCAGAAGAAGGCGAGCAAAGAAAAGTTAAAGAGGAGAAGATTTATTAATAAAATATCTTTTTTTGAACCCTCATCTTTTGTCTCGTGTCCTCAAATATGTTGTGTCTTTGGTGGACGTCACATATTTTCTTGTTAAAATGGTACCATAGGAATTTTATGTAAAGCAAATGGGGTGCCTGTTTTTATTTCTACCAAATTCCAAGCCTCTACATCACCAATGTAACGAAAAATGAAATGACGCTTCAGTCATTAACGAACAGGGTGGCCAATGATTGGTTAAGGGTGGCAATGGCCACCCCTGGCCCCCCATCTAGCTCCATCCCTGTTCACAAGACATCAACAGAGGCATGCTCACATCAAATCATCTAAAACATGATTGACAAAGACGACCCAAAAACCTGCAGACGAATAGAAACACTGAGCAAGGCGCTGCTTGAATAATTCTACAATAATCTGCCTTTAGCTTCATTCTTAATGAGTTTCTAACCTGCAGCCACGGGGTTCACTTGGCTGTAACAAAAATAACAAATAAATAAAAGAGAAATTAAAAATAATTGACTTTTTTTCTTTCAAAGAGGATCGATTTACTTTGTCAGGCAT